TAACACACCAACACCATACTGCAACACTCAGTATAACACACCAACACCATACTGCAACATTAAGTATAACACACCAACACCATACTGCAACACTCAGTATAACACACTAACACCATACTGTAACACTCAGTATAACACACCAACACCATACTGCAACACTGAGTATAACACACCAACACCATACTGCAACACTCAGTATAACACACTAACAATATTCCCATATAGCTGGTATAACACACCAACACCATACTGCAACACTCAGTATAACACACAAACACCATACTGCAACACTCAGTATAACACACCAACACCATACTGCAACACTCAGTATAACACACTAACACTATTCTCCTACAGTTAGTATAACACACCAACACCATACTGCAACACTCAGTATAACACACCAACACCATACTGCAACACTCAGTATAACACACTAACAACTCCTCAGTATAACACACCAACACCATACTGCAACACTCAGTATAACACACCAACACCATACTCCAACACTCAGTATAACACACCAACACCATACTGCAACACTCAGTATAACACACCAACAACATACTGCAACACTCAGTATAACACACCAACACCATACTGCAACACTCAGTATAACACACCAACACGATACTGCTTACTGACACTAACAATGGTCTCCTTTGTCACGTTACATACACAGATCGTCCTAGATCATGGTTTCCAAAATTACCTTTCCTTCCAATACTGTTGACAGATATCGCCTCATTGATACAAACATAACATGGACCCTAGTCATGGCTCAGTTGTTCTTAACTCCGACATTTACTCGGTAAACTGATAAATGCTCTGATCTTTGAGATCGTAATGTGACTTAGCAATGTGCCCATATGTGCTCTTCTGTCTTTTCTGTTCTTCTATTTATACCTGTTATTTGGTAATTATTTACTCGCTATTTATTTTCGTGTTTACTCTTTTACCCTTCCCTGCTTACTTTGTTTAGTGTTTACGTCTATTTCGTAGGGAGCGGCCTCTAGCTGGGTTTCTAGCCGTACTATAGAATAGACACAAATTCACTTGAACATGAAAACAGAAGTATGGAAAGTGCATAACATCTACCAGTAAATGGTACTGCATCACATCTACCACTTAAGGCACTGTCTAATATAAACCAGTGAAAGGCCCTGAATTACATCAACCAGTGATGGGCACTGCACCACATCCACCAGTGAAAGGCACTGCATCAACAACCTGTAATGGTCACTGAATCACAACCACCAGTGAAGGTCACTGCATCATCCACCAGTCAAGAGCAAATCCTCACATCCACTAGTGAACGGGAATGTATCATTGACCTCTGAAGGTCAATGCATCACGTCCAACACGGAATATCACTGCATCACATCCTACCGTACACTGCACAACATCTACCAGAAAAGGTAGCAGCATCACATCCACCAGTGAAGGCCACTGCATCACATCTACCAGTAAAGGGCACTGCATCACATCTACCAGTGAAGGCCACTGTATCACATCCACCAGTAAAGGGCACTCTGTCATGTCTACTAGTGAAGAGCACTGTATCACATCTACCAGTGAAGGCCACTGCATCACATCCACAAGTGAAGACCACTGCATCACATCTACCAGTGAACGTCACTGCATCACATCTACCAGTGAACGTCACTGCATCACATCTAATAGTGATGGTCACTGCATCTCATCTACAAGTGATAGAAATCTAACAAATGATTACTATGATGATGAAATATGGATTCTGGAGTACAATCTTTTCAGATATGACAGGAAATACAGGCTTAAGGGTGGGATCCGCCTGCCCCTCACAGACACTCTCAAGTGCAATGAGCTGCTGAACATCACAAATTATATGGTGAAAGTGCTGATAATCAAAATAATGATCCTATATGTGGTTATTGTCCTTTTATACAAATAACCAGAGGCAAATCCTCAATAGTTTAAAGGCAAATTAATTAAAATATAATACTGTTTAGGAAACCATACTAATCTACCCTCAAACATCATCTTGCTTGGGGACTTTAGCTTAAGACACCTGAAGTGGAAAACCGTAGCACCTACAGTTATATCAGAGAGAATACCGAAAAAACAAATATACAGTTGCACAGAACTGACCTGTTACGGATGTGTGACAGATATACACTAACCCAACAAATAGTACACCCAACTAGAAAAGATAACAGACTAGACGTCATTATAAAAAATTACGATGAATTAATCAGGAACATAATGATTATAAATACCCGTTATTCAGATCACAATTTAAATGAAGTTCAGACAAGCATGGGCAATTGAGCTGCACAACCAGTTCCAAATTCTAGAAGAGGAGTATTCAGCAAATTTAATTTTAATAATAAACAGATTAACTGGGAACAAATAAACCAAGACCACACAGATTTAAGCTGGGAAGAACTTCTAGAAAATACAAACCTATTACGGGGGACGGGGGAGGCAGGGATAGTTGGGAGGTGGAAGGGACGCGGGAGGGGAAAATGGTGGGGAGGACTGAGAGACAGGGAAGGTTGTTGTGACCGGGTACAGCTAGTAATTAAATAAAATTATAAATAATTAAAATTAACATAAATTAATAAATCCCTCGAGTCAGTTTTCCCCACACTTAGAGAAAAGAGGAAGAGATGCAGACAGGAGCTAGAAGGACGTTCCCTTTATAGACGATAAACATGAATCGCAGAACAACTTGGACGAACCAACCTATTTCAAGAACGAAAAATAGACTATGTACAAAAACAGGAACGACTGTACTAAACCTACAAGAATCATCCAGGAGAAACAAAGAGAGCAAAAGGCCACCATTGAAATAAAGAGGAATCCGAAATACGTTTTCTTCTCTGCAAATACAAATTATGTATTTGCAAATACAAATTGTACATCTTGATTGTACACGTACAATCTTCTCTGAAAACACAAATTACGTCTAGTATTAGCCAGTTAGTAAGGGAGATGACAACTAAGAAATGAGCAAAATACTGAAGCAACAGTATGATTCCTTTTTTCAGTAACCCCTTAAACACACTAAAGATTGATGAAGACCCAAAAGAATTCTTCATGAATATGATACTATCAGGTGTCTCTCTAACCCCACTTGATTTTGAAATAGTCATAGATAGTTTCCCTGTACACTCTGCACCAGGCCCTGATTCCTCTAATATCATATTCACAAGATTTGTAAAAAAAAATACCATCGCAGTCCCCGAAAAAAATTGAGACGGAGCAGAGAAACTGGTGTTATCTCTGGCATACTAAAACAGTTATCAGAGATAGCACTACCTCTTAAATGAGGGAATAATGCAGAGGCAAAAAACTATAGGCCGATGGCCCTAACATAACACCATCAAATCTTTAGAAGAGTGCTCAGAAGTAAGATCCCAAAACACATGGAACCACAATGTCTACATAACCCTGGACAACATAGCTTCAAAACAGGGCGCTCTTGCCTATCACAATTAATGGACCACCAAGACATGGTTTTAGATGCCATGGAAGGCAAACAAAACGCTGACAAAATATACACAGATTCTGCAAACCCTTCGACAAATGTGACTTTGGTATTATAACGCACAAAATGCTTCTATAGGTATTGCCGAAAATATAGAAGTTGGATCTACAAATTTCCTTACTAACAGACCCTAGTGAGTAATAGTCAACAGAGTAAAATGAGGACGATCATCCGTGAAGAGGTCAGTTCCCCAGGGTATTGTTATTGCTCCAGTACTCTTTCTCATTCTTACATCAGACATAGACAAGAACACTAGCATTTCTATGAGAGTAGACAACTTAGAGGATACAGCAAAACTTCAGTTTGATGTAAATTATTTCTTTCGGTGGGACTCAGAAAATAATATGGTATTTAATGAAGATAAGTTCAAGCTACTGCGCTATGGAAAAATGAAAACATACAAATGGAATCCACATACAAAACGCATTCCGATCATACTTTTGAACGAGATAGCAAAGTAAAGGATTTAGGTATTATGTTGGAAGACCTTTCAATTAAGGAACAGAATAAAGTAGCTATCACAACTGCAAGAAAAATAACAGGTTGGATAACAAAAGCCTTTCAAAAGAGATGCTATAATAATTGATGATACTTGTCAAGAGGCTAGTGATCTCTAGAGTGGAATACTGTTGCACAGTAAAATCCCCTTTTAATGTTGGAGGAAATGCTGAGCTGGAGAGCATGCAGATCCTTTACTGCTACAATCCACTCAATAAAACGTCTAAATTATTGGAACTGATGAAGATGCCTAAATCTGTATTCTCTAAAGCGCAGGCAGGAGAGATACATAATAATTTTCACATTGAAAATATTAGGGGGCTAGTTCTAAATCTGCTCAAAGAAATAACATCTCATAAGACCAGAGGGCTGGCAGGATGTGCAGAATACCCCCGTTGAAAAGTAGAGGTGCAACAGGTACTCTGAGATCAAGCACTCTATCAACATCAGAGGCCCGAGACTGTTCAACACGCTTCCACTACACATAATGGACATAAATGGCTGACCCCTTGCAGTATTCAAGAAAACTATAAACACCTCCAAAGAATACCTAATCAACCAGAATGTGATTCATACGTCAAGTTGCGAGCAGCTGCGTCCACCATCCTAGTTGACCAGACTATTAACCAGGAGGCCTGGTCAGAGACCGGGCCGCGAGGACCTTGACCCCCGAAATCAGTACAAAGTAACCGCAAGGTGAGGTGCACTGCATCCCTGACATTCTCAACGATCTAACAAATCTCTTCAATCATATTTATTCTTTTGTATAACCAACTAAGACGTTGAGCATCTTACTGCCTTTGGCACATGCATTACTTCCATTGCTATGACAGATCTCTATGTTTAGACTGTTGTTGCTTCCATGGTTGTACAGCAGTTCTGCTGTGGTAAAGTACGATCGTAATCAACATATGTTATCTCTAGTGCTGATTGATTCCAGGGCATCGCTTGGAGCAGTAAAACATACCTGTGTCCAGGGCATCAGTTGGTGATGACGGGAGCGTCGCAGCTGTCTTGTACACAGACGGTGCTTCTTGCAGAATGTGAACACTGTCCACTGCTGCAACACCCTCTCGCACAACACTGCTGCAACACCCTCTCGCACAACACTGCTGCAACACCCTCTCACACAACACTGCTGCAACACCCTCTCGCACAACACTGCTGCAACACCCTCTCGCACAACACTGCTGCAACACCCTCTCGCACAACACTGCTGCAACACCCTCTCGCACAACACTGCTGCAACACCCTCTCGCACAACACTGCTGCAACACCCTCTCGCACAACACTGCTGCAACACCCTCTCGCACAACACTGCTGCAACACCCTCTCGCACAACACTGCTGCAACCACCTAAGGTGTCGTTGTATAATATCTCCACTTCTTTTTCTTATCTCAGCCTATCGAACTCCCAAAGGTCATTATCATTGAAACAGCCAATTAGTCAATAAATAGTTGTAATCTTCATAATCTTCCTATCATATCACCGACACGATTACAATAACCATGATCTCCAAAACTTCAGCAATAAGAAATATTTCACAATGAAGGCAAGCTCATGCATTATATTTGAAAAAAGTATTGAAGTATGAGTAGCAATTATCAAGATAATGTATCAAGGTACATGGTTTCTCATTTATTTCTTGCGTTTATCAGTGTTTGGCATCGCTTGCAAGGATGTGGTAACGTTTTCAGATAACAGTAATGGATGGAAAGTATTCGTGTGGTATTATCGGTATAAGACTCTTATTTGTCTCTAGGAACCGGCCAAAAATGGTTCAAGGTCAACTTTTTTTTTTACGAATTACTTTTTTAGCTGTGTGCTATCCTTGTGCTGGTGGAACTTGGTCCTGCCTCTCAACTGGCGTACAGATTCTTAAGCCATCTGAGCTGTATCAGATCTACATTTAAAAGTATGTATGGAGTCTGCCTTCACTACATCACTGCTTAATGCATTCCATTTGTTAACAACTCTGGCACTGAAAAAATATTTCTAATGCCTATGTGGCTCATTTAGGTACTAATTTTCCACCTGTGTCCCACTGTTCATGTTCCATCCGTGCTAAATAGTTTGTCTCTGTCTACCCCTGTCTTTTCCTCTGATTTTTTTTAGGTAGTTATCATGTCTCCCCTTACTCTTCTGTCTTCCAGCGAGGTTTTGGTTCAGCTCCCTTAGCTAAACTTCCCTTTAGAGGTTTAGCGAGGTCTTAATCTCCCTAAAGAGCTCAGCTACCTTAGCTTAGGTGGCGTGGGTTTCAGTACTGGGAGTAAATACTGCCTTTCTATTCTTATTAATAATATTATGCGGTGAGTGGTGACTATTAAGTAGAGGGGAAACTTGAAACAAGTGTAATTGATGATGGGAATCAGGAAGCAAAAATAATAAGTGCCATGAAATTTAATAAATTTATAAGTTGTTTAGCTGGAGGGACTATTTTTTGGCCATAAGAAACAATTGATTTGTATTGATATTGATGATAGGGTAAGATGAATGTAATTAATATAAGAGCAATAATACCAATTAATAATGACAATAATGATTTATAAATATTTGTTCCCAGTAGATAAAACGTGACTATTATGCCAACTAAGAAAGACAAATACATAAAAGAAATAGCCCATTTTGTCCTTTTCTTACCGACATTGAATTTTTCTGGTGCTATTTCTGTATTCTTATTATTATGTTGCCCATGAGTAGTTGTTATTGGACTCCAGTACGAATCTTCATGTATTCTGTTAGCTATTCTCAAATTTGCAAAATGTGGATGGGGTAATAACTGAGGCGGTTATTGATGATTTACAGTAGTTTTTGTTGGTGAGGTTGTTATTAACGTAAATGGAGTATGTGTCATCGTTGTAAAAGCGATTTACCTATATTTTTTCTTAATTTTAAATTTAATTAATCCCTCACTATCAAAGGGTATTAGTGTTTTTAGTCGATAGCTATTTTATGTATATTATGGCTTTCCCCAGTGGGGTAAAATAGGCAGTTTTTTCTTCGTCCAAACGATGGTTGAAAGGAAAATTATGTATATAATTCTTAGTTGTCAGTCTTATCATTCAAGTTCAAAATACTACCTAAAGTTTCTAACATCCAATTTAAACATTGAGACTGAGTGTATTTAAATGGAACTAAATAATTCGCATCTTCAGTTTCTACTAAAATACTATAATCACAATGATATGTTTTGCCATTCAGTTCATTCCATTTTCTGATATCATAGGTAGATTCTAATTATTAAGCTTTCCTGATTTAATTGTTCTGATAATTGAAATGTAAAATGAGTACAGTGTGTTTCTACCATAAACTCTCTAATTTGGATAATTATCTAAATGTTTTGATACATTTTTCGGGTTGACCGAGGAAGTGTATAGGTCCCTTCAATTGTATTTGCATTACCATACATATGCTGATACAAATTAACATATTCGGCTTGAGTCACGGTGGGCATATTTTAAAAAATATTTACTTTTTCGTTTTATCGATCCATTTAGGTCGATAATTTGTATTATTAAAATACGAAATAAGAAAATATTATGGAAAATGCATCATTAGGATTTTACATTGATTTAAAATAACTTTCTCGATTTAATTTTTTCATAAACGTTCATTTGACAATCACTGACACCATCATTACAAACAGCAGTTTCATCTGTGTCAACCCAAATCACTTTCACTCCCTGGTCTATGAGATTAGGCAGCATAGCTAACTTCTTCAAAAAGATTTTTGAATCAGGGATAAGAATATTACCCGGATGAACAGATATATTTATGGCATTGTGCATATTAGGGTCAGCTTTTTTATTAATATTAAAACTTGTTATTAAGGCGTGAAACATAAGGCCTAGATTATAAGCATTTTGTGGTCCAGTTTTACTGGAACAAGACACACACACACACACCGTATATATATCAGATATATATCATATATATCGTATATATATCAGACCTATACTAGAAATATGCGGCTCCAGCATCTAGTCCACATCTAGTCAAACACAAAACTAAGTTAGAAAAGGTTCAGAGGGATGCCACCAAGCTAGTCCCTGAAATGAAGGGTAGGAGCTATGAAGAAAGATTACTGGAAACGAAACATGATCATTACCTTATAAAATCCTCAGAGGGATTCATACCCATCCTACTTTCTCGAAAGAAGTAAAAATGTTGCGTGGTGTTACAAATAAATTCCAACAGTCAGATAAACCACTACACCTCCCCAATTTTTTTTAAATATAATAGTAAATATGTAACATTTACATATTAAAAAGGAGAGTTAACATCAAATAAATATTTTGCATGATGTTAAACTCAGTTCTTATGTCGAAAAAATGTTAACAAGGAGACAGACAAATAGACTTGAAGAGGTAGAAACCACTACCATTACCACCTCATTTGCATATATATAATATCAGGAAAAGATATAAATGTTCGAATTGTAATAACAGATTTAGTTGGCCAAAATCCTAGAAGTCTCACTTGAAAATACATGAACAGCTTTATCAATGTTGTGTATTTTATGAAATGTTTTGGTAAAAAACGTACCTTGAAAATGCATTTGAAAATTCAAACAGGTGAATGTCTTCATAAATGTTCTACTTGTGGGCGATATATTAATTATAAAACCAGTTTGAAGACACGTTTATAAAGACATAAAGGTGAGATGCCTTATAAGTGTCATATATCCACTAAAGGGTTTGTTAATAGGGGCCACTTGGCCGATTATCTTAATATACATACAAGCATAAAACCTTATATATGTTTTATGTGTGGGAGAAAGTTTACTATTAACAACTACTTGCAGAGTCATTTAGAGGAAGAGGCGAGATGTATTGAAGAATATAGGTAACAAGTAATTCATTAAACTGACCTATTGTGAGAGAGAGATAGGAACAGCGTAAGAGTTAATATTACTTTTAGACGCATTTAGTTTTCATCACGTCTTACCTCAAGCATTTGACCTTCAACTTTAGACAGACAGATTTGAAGAAAATAGTGAAGGTAAATTAGAAAAATAGGTATGGACCTCATATGTATGTTTGATGTTATCTAAGTCTGTAAAGGCCGATTCTTCGACGTAGAGGTATAAAAACATAATGACGATTTTTATTAAACTACTAGCAGTACCCGGCCACGCGTTGCTGTGGCTCAGCAACGCATGTGCCTTGCTGAGCCACAGCAGCCTTCCCTGTCCCCCAGTCCTCCCCACCATTCTCTCCTCACCCGTCTCCTTGGCCTCCCAACTATTCCCCACGCCACCGTCCCCTCGTCCTCCCCCACCATTCCCCAATCCACCATCCCTTCTTCCTTCCCACCATGCTCCATTCCCCTGTCCCTTTGTCCTCTCCACCATTCTCCATTCCCCCATCCCCCTCGTCATCCCCACCATTCCCCACTCCCCCGTTCGATACCTTTCCAAATGATCTGATGTTCCTATCAGAAAATTGGGAACATCAAGTGATCTGATGTTCCCATCACTGAAATAGAAGAAAAACAGTTTAAAAGTTAAATGAAAATATGAAAAATAAAAAATAAACTATACATACGAAATGAACGGTATGATAAACAATACAGCTCAATTCCAACGCAATTCACACATAATAATTAAATCATAATGAAAATAAATCAAAATCTATGAAAATTCAATTTATTATTGCAATCAGAAACATTGAAGTGGAATCGTAACGTATATAGTATAGCGTGTGAGTTGCTCATACATGCAACAGATGGCATTGTTTGTCATGAAAAGCATAGTTTTACCTGTCACAGGTGTGGTACTTATACTTATGAAATGAATGGTATGGTAATCAACATAGCTCAATTCCAACACAATGTCACACAAAATAATTCAATAAGAAATAAAATAAATCGAAATCAATGAAAACAAAATTTTTCAATGCAATCGGAAACATTGAAATGGAATTCGTGACATATTTAGTATAGCGTGAATGTTGCTAATATGTGCAACAGATGGCGCTGTTTTTCAAAAACGCATGTTTTTTCCTGTCTCAGGGGTGGCGTCTATATAGTAGGTATATAAAAAGACGCGCCTATTAGAATGCAACGTTGTGTCAAAATTTCAAAGCAATCGGTTAAGAACTTTCGGAGAATACAGAGTGTGTTGCTCTTACGTTCAACAGATGGCGCTGTTTTTAAAAAAAAAATCATGTTTTTTTCTGTCACAGGTGAGGCATGTATATAGTAGATATATAAAAAGACGCACCTATTAGAATGCAACGTTGTGTCAAAATTTCAAAGCAATCGGTAAAGAGGTTTCGAAGATTTCCTTTACATGAAAAACACACGAAAAACACAGTTTTTCAGAAAAAAAAATTTTTTTTACCGTCACAGACGTGACATCTATAGAGTATGTATATAAAAACATGGCCGGACACGAATGGA